ATTTTTATTTAAAAATAAAGAAATTTTAATTTATATTGATTCTACCATAATCTTGTTGGCCGCACTTTTTATTTCTATCGCCATTTGATATAAGTGGTGGACAATTTGTATACTAGTATTATAACATTTGCCACTGCCTCTTTGTTTTTCTATGGATTTACGATTAGTTTTTTTTTCGAAAAAAGTTGGATTAAATGTTATTTATTTTTAAGTGAGATAAGGATTTATTTGAGGAAAAAAGAGCAAGACAAATCAAAGTCAAAGGAGGAGGCCAAAGGTAAAGGTACCCCCCCAAAAAATATACTAGTATCTTTAATTTGTTTCTCTTTAATGACTAGTATATATTACTAGTATTCTTTATTTTTGGTTGTCTCCTTTTTCTTTCTTTAATTTGAAAATGATGTAGGAAAAGCCCAACTTTTTCTTCCTTTTCCTTTTTTCTAAAAAGTTTGAGTTTCTTTTTTCTAAGGTAGAGGTCTAAAATTGCAATTTTTATTGTTGAATCATTTGCCCTTTTTACATTCTTACCTTTCTTCATTGCCACCTTTGATTTCTAGACTTTGGTACTTTTGTGTACCAATACCAAAATTTCTCCCATTTCACTAGAATTGTCACACATCAGGCTAATATAAAATATTTACTCATGAGTTTGAATAAAATATAACTTAGTAAAAGTCCCGATGATCAGGTCGGGTATGGGTTATATTGTTTATCAGAACCCTCAAAACTATTATCAAGACGTGATAAGTAAAAGTGAGTCGAGAGAGTATAAGGGTGACTTACATCATAGTGACGAAATCAAACAATTTTGTATAAAATCAGGATACTAGATTCGATTGGGAAAATAAAAGCATCATCTAGAATAACAAGCCATTTGCACATTCAACAGAAACAGAAATTTAATTACTGTTTTATGCCGTGATGGATTTAGGATTTTTATTTAGGGGACTTGGAAATATAAAGTAGTGATTTCAACTCTTAAATCACGAAGCCAACATTTATTCTTATATTCGGGAGATTCAAAATTAATATAGACATAAAAAAATTCTTAAAAATATCTAAAATATACAACGTAATTTTTTGCCCAGTGAATTCACCTAGGGGGATCAAAAAAAGAGAGTAGTGGTTTAAACCCCTAAACCACTAAAGCCAACCTCCATTCTTATATTCGAGAGGTTCAAAATCAATATATAAACATAAATTTTTTTTAAAATATCTTAAATATACCAACGTTATTTTTACTGAGGGTTGATCTAGGCCCCTCGTTTTCTGCACATTGAAGTGTACAAAAGTTTTGACATATGCGTGAGAGATTGAATGAGACGTTTTTATGGTAAAATTCAAGCAAAAAAATCCAATCTATCTCTGAAAAAGAGCTGACATTTCCTATTATGCTTTAGAATCCAATGCTATCCTTCATCCTAAAGTCCCAAACATACTCTAAATTCTCATATAAAAAAAAAATACTTCTCCATCCTATTAAATATTATTGTCAAAACAACATTAAATGTTTTACCAAAAAATGTCAATCAGGCATAGTCTGTTACTATCTTTACGAAAGTAATCATAGATAGCCATTCAATATGCATATAGTCAATGCACTACCAATAATTTAGCAAATTTATCTTAGTCAATTTTATTTTTTCTTTTCAACCTCCCTATACTCATGTCTACACGCTAGCACAACACATTTTTTTTTTTACTTCAAACTATATATATAAGAAATTAAATTTTTAAAAAATCATTATACTAAGTTTACATTTACCATGTCACAAAATTCACTTGTTTTAACTAATATTTCCTTAAAAAAAGATCACACAATTAAAATAAAAAATCTTAAGTTGAATTCCCTAAACTTGTTCATGTTTAACTTCACATAACTTTTATGAATCTTTTGATTAGGAACAAGTTATTTCATAATTAATTATTCTGAAATAACTTATCACGTATATGAGATGACTTATTCCTTTACTATGATATAAATAGTGGAATAAGCTATTCCCAACATAACAATAAAATTTTATTCCAGGATTAATTTTTTATCCCAAGATTATACCTCATACCAGACGATTCCTTAGTTAAATTTTATATCAGGTCAAACTAGAATAAACAAAATAAGTGCAGTGTTAAAAGTAGTTGATTAACCTTTGCATTTACGCAACTAATGAACACAAACAAGAAAAGCAAAAGTTATTCTCATCATGTCAGGCAGCTAACAAGTAAAGAGTCAATTAATAGAGCATCCTAAAATCCAAAGTCAAGAACGTGCTAGCAAATGCATTATTTATAGTCATTTGCTGTTTTCCCCTGTACATAAAACATTACCCATAACTGTGCTCTGTACCAACAAAAACAGAGCACCATGGCTACTGAAACAAGTTCAACACTAAAACTTCCTCTGTTTTCAGTAAATTCACAAGAAGATTTAGGGACGTTAACTCCACTTCATACTTTAGCTTCGATTCCATTCTCTTGGGAAGAAGAACCTGGAAAGCCTCGTCCATGTACTGACCTTGTCCCTTTACCAAATTCCATATGCTTAGAGCCACCTCCTAGGCTTTACATGGAATTAACCAAAAGTTCTTCTCCTACAACTGTTTTTGATGGGCCTTATATTACTAGCAAGCCTAAGTTTTCATCTTTTAGGCTCTTGAGGGATCGGCGTCGACAAGGGTCATTTGATAGTACTGCTAGTTCTGAAACAGGGCAACTTAGTGCGTTTGTTGTTGGCAAGAAGAAAGCGGAAAGTAAAAGCTGGTGGCGTCGTAATAATGGCGGTAAAGGAAAATTTGGTACCGATTTAACAGATTGTGTTAGTTTGAATGATGAATGCACTATGAAAATGGCAACACTTAAGAGAAGTGGAAGCTTTTCAGGTCTCTCACAGACTAAAACTCACATTTGGGTAAGTCTTTAATTAATTTACGAATTCTTAGTGAATCTTGCTATTAGTATTAGTACTGTTTTTTTCTAGTCCTGTTTCATGTCAAACAGTTTTATTAAAGCTTGATTCATACTCTGCCCTAATACCTTAGAGATAAAATGGAGTGGGTAGAGTATTAGTTAGTTATCTGGTGAAATAATTTTATCTATCTCATCTCCGTACCAAACAATTGCATGAGATTTTAGAATTGAACCTATTTTATGGTTCAAAGCTATGATTTTTATAGTTATAATAAGTTTACACATAAAACTAGTTGTGCATCGAAAAGATACTGGATTTAGATAAAATAACTAGCACTTGTTAATGCTTCATCCCTCTCTTAACTAGGAACTTCCTTTTAACACGCTGCTATCTTAATAGTTGCAATATAATGATAAATTTCACGCGATCTAGCCTCTAAGCTAGAACCTATAGGTTAGCCGTCCTATCCCACCTCTTTAAAGGATCAATACTTTGTTCTTTGACACTATCAAAATATCAATCATTTCTAACCAAAAAAAAGTTTCCATTTTGTTGTTAAACTAAAATTTGAAGAATTGATGACTGAATTCACAAGAATTAAGTAAAAACACCTTTTGGTAATGATGGACTAATATATGAGAATGAAAACAAAAGAGATACGAGTAATGAGAAAGCTTAATAATTGGGGCAGGTGATGATGTTGAGGAAGACGGTAGTGGGGTTAGATAAGGGGCCTAGTTAACTTCACTTTTAGGCAAGAGGGTAGGTATAACACAAAACACAAATATAGCTGTTAGCAATTATCTGTTTTCTTTTCTAGGCCTCATTTAAATGAAAGTGCTCCTACTAATCATACCTAGGACTAGGACTCCAACCCAAGGTTTTTGATCAAGGAAAAAGCAACCCATCACTCCATTAGTGGTGTTGACAATCATCTTCGTTGAAAGATAATAGATGCCCAAGTTATAGGGCGCCCAATACCATCGCAGTTACTGGGAAAAAGGGACTTAAGGATATGGGCTGGCTGATTGAACTATGCCTCTTTTAGTAGTGGATTGGGAAATGTGTAGACTTTTCACCATTGAAGTTTTTCTTGCTCTGCTATCGCTATCATTTATCAACATTCAACATGCCCATCCCAACATTTCTCAATCGAAACTAAAGGATGTGGCTTAGCAATTAATAAAGTTGGTGAACAATTATGAGATATCAGACTTTAAACTCGCACATAAATAAGTGGGTGAGTTCTTTAGTTTTGGTAGGCACAATTACTAGATACCATGTACTACTGAGACAATGGGGATTACTAACAAGTATCTCGTAGAATTAATTACGCACCTATCGTTTTGTCATTGGTTGTTTTTCATAAGTAGAATTTCATGTCCTCTTCTATTTTCCATCAGCGTTACTAATCTCAAGTATTGTTCTTGTTGAAATCTTACAGGCAACAATATACGAGGGTTTCAAGCAGGTAATAATACCATGGAAGAGCAAAAAATCAAAGAAAGAAGCGCTCATTGACCAAGTGTCAACAATGTAATGCAGTGAGATTTAATATTACTTTCTCTAGTCATTTAAGTACTCCTGGTTAAATACACAGGAACTATAGAAACAAAAGTACCACGTCTCCTGACTTGAATGTAGCAATCTACTATCATTAGCCTTGAATTTCACCAGAACCTATTGTAAATATTGTGAGATCATTTTCTGGATTCCATTTCCACTTGTGTATCCTTGCATCATATTGAGGTAAATATTTATGGTTTGCATTTTGGTCATGCCAATTGCATAGCTACATGAGAAGTACCCCAACCTAGATAACTTTTTCGATTTTCCACCCATCAAATATACTTTGATAAATACTAAACAGAGACGCAAACAGTGAACCTTCCTCTCCAACTCCAACCAACATTAAAATTTGAGTTTCCATCGTGACAAATAAAGAAATATGCATATGATAGTATGGGTATACTTCAGAGAGTGAAGACTTACCCGCCAACAGTCATCAAAATTCGTTGCATGTGATGATTTCGAGTTCACTTCAGTTATATACTTATACTAACTAAAAGGCAATTCAAACAAAGACAAATCAAAATCATGACAAGCCTCAGATGCATTTGATTAGGTTATAACTGAAGTCAATTCGGTATTTGAATACAAGTAGCACTGCCTCTGTCAAGTGTTTACAAATGAGGAGGGTCTCCCTCCCCTTGCACAAAACATTTAAAGTATCCACAAAAGAAGACATTATTTTCACTTCTGATCAGGATGAAACAAGAAGGATGGAATAAGCCTACAAGGAGTTGGTTGAAACTAAAACCTCACAAGTATCTTATCCTTGTTTTTTACCAGTCATACCCGCAACCACCTGCACAAAGTAGATTGAAGAAGAGAACGAAAATCAGCTAAAGATCTGCACAGTCCTACAACATGAACAACTTATAAGCAGTTTGAAAGCATTTCAGTTCAGAAACTAGTTTAGAGTCTTTGGAATGCCATACGCAGCCAATTTCTGGAGCTCTATGATAGTAACCTTAGAGAGATATCTGGCAATCGGTAGGAAAAATTGAGACAACGTGAATATATGGATGTTGGTTGATCCGAAAAACAAGAGGTTATATCGTATCTCCTAATTTGCAATTCAAATCTCAACTTAGCACTTATAACAAAAATCATTAGTTAAGTTGGCACAACATGATGCTATAACACACTCCTACAATCTGAGTCAAAGCATTTCACCTACTGGAAAAGAAGAGTAAAAATGGACGACATTGACAACTCTATTTAGTATACATAAGAATGTGAACTAGCATATTGTAAAGGGATTACTTATCCCCAAAAGAATACCGACTTTATGCATAAGCAAAGATCAAACAAACCAATAAATATATCTACACATATGAGGAATATGACTTATAAGAAAGAAAAACACAGTTGCATAAACCAGAAAAAACATAGAACAATGATGGACAATTACTCACATCGCTTAAAGGAGCTGCCGGAACTTGCTTGGATGATTCAAAAGAGTCCAGAATAGGCCTTACAACCGCAGGAAGGAAGAGGCCTGAAATTGCAAGCAAAATAAGACAAGCAGATTCTCAATCGAAGAGAAAGGCATATAGGAATAGAAGGTCAATACGTGTCCTTTCAAAAAACAGTATACAAAATGTACTACTTCAGTAGGTAATTGAATGATCATCATTAAACGATGCACATCGACTCCAACTTCTTGAGTTGGTAATAAGAATCATCAAGTCATTAACAAAGGTAATTCTTCTCCTGAGCTACTAACACACACTTCTTTTGCAAGAGGGTTTCACAGTAAGGCTGAGCTAATTGGCTTGTGCCATACAGGAAACTAATCTACTAAGGGTTACTGAGAAGCAATAACAGACAGCACCCATGTAAAGGCCTCTCTGGAAGCACATAAGGGACAACACAGAGTTAACAGTGAATCTTACTTGAATGATCAATGGCTAGACAGTTGCAGAGATAGGCTTCTCCAAAATTCCTGTGACTAAATAACTGGTTTTCAAACCCAGTGGAACAGATGAATATGTCCATTAGTAGATTATAGTTTTAAAGAAAATATCTCACTTATTGAAATCCCTCTATTAGATCAAAATAATAATCTGAAAAAGATCAGCTTTTAAAATCTTTAACTAAATATAATTTGATGAATGTAGATAGACATGTGAAGAAGCTGAGGTTGATAACCACTGCTCTACCATCATTCCATTTTAGTAAAGGACATCCAGATCTATTATTCCTGTACTGTGGATTTCTCTGCTTGATTTGCAGATGAGAACATACTTATTGCTAAAAGAAAGAAAATGTACACTCTTCTTTAGGTCTCACTTTGTCACCTCTGTCAAAATGCAGCAAGAAAATAAGACTGAGTCTAAGATGCATACTAAGTTTTATTGCATATGCCTCATATATAGCTTTTGCATTCAGGAATTAGGCTTGTCTAAGCATGAAAAGCAATAAGAGGAACCCGCTCTCTACAGTCAGATCACATATTCTGAGCTCCCATCCTTTACCCACTCCTAAGGAAAAGTCATAAAGACGTCCATACATAAAAAGAGACATTTTTTTGGGGGATGATATCGATGGAATTAATAAGATGAAGATATAGGAAAGATAACAAGTACAAAAGAGAGCTTGCATGCCTATTACAGTGAGACATATAAATATATATGTCATATGCACGTTCACATATGTAAAATGCAAGAATAAGGAGTCATCTGGTAGCAGATTCCTGTTTGGGCAACAGATCAACTTGATGCTTTTGTAGAAATCATACTTGTGACAATATGCGGAGGTTATTGTTCCGAATTATCTACTTAATTTGCTGTATATTCCCTACTATCAGAATAAGAGTTAGGACAAAACCTTTTATATTCTTTCAATTAGATAAAGTGGCAAATCAGCTGCCGCTACAAGTTCTAATTGACCCACTGGCCACTGCTAACAAAAAAACCTACAGCTCAACTGACAAATAAGCAGATTCATTCACAAAAGAACTTGATACTTAGAGCTCGCAATGAAACAGATAACCTGAAAAGTGTCTCAGACTAATATCCTAGTATGCCTATTTAATCACAAGAAACTGTGTTCTCAACAACGGGAAGGCACGTTATCCAATTAATCACAATGTAATAAATCTCCGGAAACCTCTATATATATCCTCCAAAAGAGATCCGCTACCTATTGAAACCAATCACTACCTTAAAGGTCCATAGTATATGTTATGAAGAGCTACTTGGAACCTCAATTATATCAAATAAAATAAAAACATTGTCCAAATGAAAAATTACAATACCCAAAATTGAGGATTACCGTTAGTAATCAAGCATTAGTACATTCAGAGAAGCTGGTATCGAAATAATCATTATACTGACCAAAAAATATACATGTCTTAGCGGCTGATTTGCAGGGTTTTGTTAGAAAAATATGAACTTTGAAAACATCAGATTTCATAGATTCAACCACAATAGGGTCCATGGACGCCTGATTCCCACCGATATACAGTTCAAAAATTTATGAACTTATGAGTAAAATTCAATTGTCACTAATGAAAAAACAACAACTTATTTTTATCCAACAAACATAAAATCGAAGATTTGGTGATAGCGTAAAGATAGAGAGTAAGAATCACCGAATCCAGCGATGAGACAAGAGGCAGCCACGACTGGTTCTTGAACCACGAACATTCTCAATTTCCCCATTACCGCCATCTTTTTTTCTTCTTCTTCTTCCCGTAGATTTCCTACCACCCAGAAAAGTCTCGAGATGTTGGCTGCTGTGTAGCAACTACGATCGGTTATTTTGAAGCAACCCGGCCCATAACGTTGTTCCCAGGCCCATGTATTTGTACTTGGCATGTGACATCAAAATGACATTAAAAAACTTTCCTTAATAACAAAGATATTTTTGACCAAATAATTTGATAGAAAGGGTAATTTTAAGTTAGAAATATAGTTTAAAGGTAAATTTGAGCTATTTCGGATAGTTTAAGGGTTTTTTTGGATCCTTTTTCGTTTAGTTTATGTGGCAATGAAATCCTATTGACGTGCAATTTATGTGACAACTTTCGTTAATAAGAAGACACTTTTAACCCAATAATTTGACGGAAAGGATAGTTATGAGTTGAAATATAGTTTAAGAATAAATATGATCTATTTTGGATGATTTAAGGATATTTTTGATCTTTTTTTGTTTTATAAATAACTATAGTTTCGACTATAATTAATTAGTAATTTGTCTAATTATAATTCAAAGCAATAGTTTTAGAGAAGAGAGAGGTAAGCGAGAGGTGAAATTGAAATTGAAATTGAAATTGTCTTGGCAGACATTGGAAAAAAATTCCCTTACAACTATTTTTACTAGAGCAATTACACCCCAAGTCTGTTTTTTGGCAAAAAAATATGTCAGTCGAGCAGATATGTCCCTCTCCTTCTAACGTACTCCACATTAGAGGTAAATTAGAATACAATAAATATTTCGTTTGCATAGTTGGAAATCCGGGTTGAGAAAAGAAAATCTTAAGATAATATCAAAGTTTGTGTATAGTCAAACCAATAATCTCATTCACAATATAACACAATTAGCTTTTTAAAAATGATAGAAATAATTAACAACTCTAAGAAATCCATTAATCATGATAATACAAAAGAGTCTAATTTTGGTGAGGAAAAAACATAATTCTGCCTAATATATATACATGCTTGCTAGTCTTCAAGTACATGATTCCATTTCAATTCAAGTACTAAAAGCTGAGACCAAAGGAAATGGAGAAATGATCATACAACTAACATACATAGACACAACCACCCACTCAACTCCCATGTAAACCAATCTTTACAAAACTACTATTTAAAAAAAATAAAATTGGATACAATCTACACAGCTCAGAACGTCGGTACCATCCACCCGACTGTCCACCCAAGAAGCAAACCTGCACCAACAAGACCCAAACCTAATGCAAAAACAACTGCATATCTGCTCAAGTCATACCTGGGACGACCACGTTTGGCTCTTTTCACCCTAGCAGACTTCTTCTGCGGTCTCTTACTTTTCTTGGGCACCCTCGGTAACATTACAGGTAACATGGCCGATATTGGATGTTTTTTGTTGCTTTTAATCTGGAAGTAGAAGTTCTCTAGTTGCAATAGCTGGAACCATTGCTTGTAGGCAAAAAGTTGTGATGCTTGTCTGAAGACCAGCTGAACAACGTGCTCCTTCTCTGCAAAGGCTTGCTTTGCCGCATTCTCAGCTTCCCTAGCACGCGTTTGAGAATGACGAAGTGCTTTTAGTAGTTGGGCCTTGCTTTCATCATTTCCAGATGTGCTCATTTTAGGCACAACCTTTTGGCCAGCGGTGTCACTGTTCTTCAAACTATGAACAAGTAAAAAGGAGTTCTTAGGCACCTCAAACATGCTCTATAGAGCAAAGACACACTAAAGAAATACTACTCGAAATCAAATCTGGAAATGTTAAAATGCAAAAAGTGGCTATCAGAGTATATGTCATTCGCTTGGAGGCGTAGATGACATTGTTATCTCATAAAAAATCACTTGTTCCAATGACATAAAACTGCTAACATGTTGCATGCACCAGATTGCAGCTAATTGAAAACATAACAAATCAATATTACTATCATGGAACGAATGAACATCTGAAGAGCTGCAGAATCTGGAGAGAAGTGTCAAGTTACCAAAAGAGCAATGCAAGAGAATTTAACAGTTCTCGTGTTCATTGCATTTGATGTATGAGACAATTACCAATGACAGCATAAGAAAATAACACACTTAAATAAAAATGTATCATTGTTTTCTTGACTTATCAAACCTGAAAGTGAAAACACATGCTACTAGGTTTCGCAATTGAGTTCATAGATTAAGACCCAGTTCCTCTAGATGACTGCACTTTGACCCAAAAGGACCAAGCAAAACCTAGTTACTTTTTAAGCTGTCTTTTCGCCTGAGGATAAAACAACTAATGAAATCATATAGGTGACCCATTTCATACAAGTTGTGCAATTCAACATGGAAAAAGGGCAGTTTTGTCAACCAAGTGCAAAGAAAACCTGCATGGAGGTCTAAACTATTAAGATAAGCATATGATCACTAAAATCAAATCACATTCTAAGCCGAGAAGAATGCTAGAGACACAGGTATGGACCAAAAGTTCGAACACTCAGCCTTATATATATAGATGCTAGCAATTATACGTATGTGCAGTAGAGCTTTTCTCCGTATGATAGCATAATTGTGAGTATAAGAATGATATATAGTTATACTAAGCAGTGACGGAAGCTAGTCCTACACGATACCTTGATGACTTGCAAGTGTGAAGCTGCAACTTCCCTTCAGCATCTAACTGTGACGGGCGTTCAAATGAAAGATTGCCACGTTTATGAATATTCGTATTTTGTTGGCGCATACTTCCAGCTTTCGGACCCATAGAAGAAGCATAAATCTTACTGTCAACATCCACGTCACGGTCTTGTTTAACAAAATTGTTCTGAGGCTGAGGAAGATCACAATTCTCCATAAAATCATGTGATCTCTGTGCAACCAATAAAGCAAGTTCCTCTGTGTCTGCAGTTCGCCACCATGGTTCTGTTTTCGCAACACCAATCCAGGGATATTCTGTATCAAATGAAAGCTCATCTATCTGCTTACCGACTGTGAGATCAACCAGACCTTTCTTACTCGCTTCATTGGGATACCCTGTGTCCTCGAGGTTAGGACTATCCTTGGAAATCTCAGTAAACACATCTGTCAGTTCTTTGCTTCCAACTCCCAAGTCACTGTTTACATAGCTTGCGGATCTTGTAACCTGAGAATCTAGAGATCCACCTACAGTAAATTTATCCACACAAATACTATCTGCCTCATTCTGATCACACAACTTGTTATATTTAGGGATTGAATCTAAAACTGGTCCAATATTTTCCATCTCTGCTTCAATAGAATCTACCAGTTCACTCACTAAGCCTTTTTGATACCCATAATTAGGTTGAAGATGCAGCCACCATCTTGAATTAGGGGATAAATCACAATATGAAGAGTTCCTGTCAAAAGGCAGGAAGCATGTGCCAGAAGGATTTTGTGCATCAGCACCATTTGCAGGTCCAGTATCAACCTGTTTCGATGAGGGTGATGCTGATGAGCAGCATGCCAACTTTGGAGCTCGTTTAGCATCTTCCTGGACCAAACATCGATTAACTGCTCTTTGCCAAGCGGTTCTTGCTTCTGCCACAGCCATTACTAGCTCATTCTTCTGCACATTTTGCTGCCACAGAAAAATCTATCAGACACTGAGTTCATCAAGATTCATGCAGCAGTCTTGATGACATACATATAAATATGAACAATATTTGACAAATAGATGAAACCTGATTTGCAGAAAAAGGATATTATTACCAAAGACAATCATTAGAAAGTTAACCAATATTTTGTACAACAAAAAGAATATCCAGGAACAAGACACAACATAGAAACAAGTTCTTTAAAGAGGAGGGGATGAAAATGCATGACGACAAGCAATGGCGGGGTTCGGATATTCAGTTAGCGGATTCAAAATATAAAGAAGTCCCAAAGACGAAGGGGGTGTCAATGACTCCACTTGGCCAAAGGTGGCTCCGCCACCGAAGACAAGAACCTTTCTATCACATCTGACAATCTCCTCTTGCAATAATCCAATCCCAATTTATCTTTTACCCCAACAAATAGATCTTTTGGTAAAAAGGAACAGAAAGCCCACTTACCCTAACAAAATAGGCAAAGAAGAAAGAGTAACATGTGAAGCTCTCATTTAAGATTTAAAATAGTACTCTGTATCTCAAGTTCTCCAGATGATAATATGTATAAAAAAGAATAAATTCAATCAACAAAATCATGTGAATGAAGAATCTAATGCCTGCTACATCCCTATCTTTTCTATAGATAATATTCTGGAACAGAGAAATAACAATGAAAATAGTTGCTAAAAGATACAATGGTAAATTTGTGCATGCATTAATTAGGTAACCTCACCACCACAACAGTCTAAATCTGCCACCAAATATTATAAAATCCAATGGTTTTTGAAGAGAGCCAAGCCCCCCATCACACAACAAAAAATCCTCAAAACAGAACCAAAAGTACCCAACATCAAGGATTAAAGTACCATTCAAGATGTTTGAAAACAGATTCCAAATTTACCCCAAACTCCAGTTCTGAATATTCTGGAAGAATCTTTTTTTTTCTGCCCTTCAAAAAAAAAAATCCAACTTCCTACTTACTAAAAGTCCTACTCCAGGGAATCTCCCCTGGAATTTACCAGTCTTAGCATAGCAAATACACCAAAAAGGAGAACTTCACACCATCACATGCACAGTCAACACCACCAAATTAGCAAAGATCAAATCCAAAATTTGCCCCCATTAAAATAACTCATACTAGTAGATATCAGAGAAAACTACAGATTTCTCTCTATCACAAATCACAAAGAACTAAACTAAGCTTGAGTAATCAAGAACCACAAAGATCAAATTTTTATAACCAATCATCATCAGCAGCAGCATATACTAATAAAGCTAAGATTTTTACTCCACCCCAAACCTCCACTCCTTACAAACATGGAAGATAGCAAAGAAAGAAGTAAAAAAGTCAAGAAAATAATTTAATAATACCAAGAAAATCACCAAGAACTTGAAAACTCAAACATGTTTATTAAAATAAACAATTATCAATGAACATCAAGAGAAAAGTCAAGAGAAAAAATGAACCTCAAAAACAGTGGACACAAGGGAAAATTAAATGGATATACAAGAGGGGTTTATAATCTAGACGAAACGTTTTTCCTTTTTTGTTCAAAGGACACAATTTTCACTCATCCTCTCTCAGAAACCAGTGACCCACCGCCCCTCAGCGCCAGCAGTTTCAGCATCCCTTCTTTTTCTTTTTTTTCTTTTTACAGTTAACTTGTAGCGTCCCACCATTTGTCTGTCGGTTTTTGTTTACAGTTTGCATATTAAACGGTGTCGTTCTAAGAGCTTTTTGTCATAAACGACGTCATTACAATTTTTTTGTATAAGTCACACTACACTATTTCTAGCTTATGTACATAAATTTTGTTTTGTTTGTTTTGTGTAGCTTTAAGATAAAGACTTGTGGTTAAACATAACTACAAGTCATGTTTTGCTCACATTTTTGTTTCCAATTGTTCGAAAAAAATTACATTTCAAGCTAAGAGAAAATCAATATTTGTGTATAAAGGCAAGTAAAGTATGATATTAATCATTATATAACAGGGTGTTTTTTGAATCTACCTCTAGTAAAATTATGTTTTACCTAAAAATTATATATCGATATTATCTTGACACGATCATGTCAATTAGAAATGTTTGATAATAAAATTTTTAAATATGCAATACAATGAGAAGTAATTCAGATATAAATATTCCCTTTCATTTCAAAAGAGTGATCTTATTTTCTTTATAATCTGTTTCAAAATGAATGACATCTTTCCTTTTTCGGTAACACTTTAACTTTAACTTTTTATGTGGTATATTTAAGACCACAAGATTAAAGGACATTTTGATACATTTGACATAACTCTAATTTAGAACCACATGATTAAAAGATTTTTTTTATTTTCTTAACTCCGTTCTAAGTTAAACTAAATCATTTTTTTTTAAACGAAAAGAGTACATATTTTAAAATAAATTACTAAAGAAATAGTTAGTGTTATATTAGGAGTGGAAAGAAAATATATGTTATAATTTTATAATTAGAAAAAAAAAAAGCAATAGTATTAATTATAGAAAGTATGTTGCTGACTGGATGAATAGATAAGTAGAAGATTATGATAGGGAATGGTGGGTCCAAGCAGTGATAACTAAAGGGACCAGGTTGTCTAATAATTGGGATCTACTAACTTTTTTTTTCCTTTTTAGTACAATCACTATACATATATTTGGCTTCAATTTGTAGGGCATTGGTGGAATTATTTTTTTGCTTGAAGATATTTTTAGGATTATGATAATTTACCTATACATATATAATATAATTATTGAAAATGACTCTACAAAGAGATCTCACGTTACAAGCAATCTGTTATTTTCAAATGTGGGGTTTTCTTTTCAAAGAAAGAGAATTGTAGATGAGTGATCTCTTCATGACCAAAGGAGCAATTTTTTCTTCTTTACTCGCGTCGATCGGTATATGATGTGATATGATTAATTTAAAATTTAAAATTTTTTATTATAAGTTAAATCAAATTGATCTAAAATAGAAATTTTATTAAACATATATTTTGAATATCAATAAGTTATACATTTGTACTTTCTCCCATTAATATGAAAAATTCTTGATTTATAAAAATTGTAAAAGACTTTCTCAGTTCTCATAATATTGCCTTTAAACAAATTCATAGTTCTTAAACAATGTCTTAGAAAAGAATCTCTTAAATTGTGGTATTAACGAAATATATCGTTTTAAAATTTTTATATTAAAACACAAATTAAATGTTATATACCGCAAACTTAATATACATAATTTTATCAAATTCTACCAATCTAATAAATCAATAATAATTGTAACCAGTACATAATATAATCTTCTCATATAGTATCTATAATCTTTTTATGTTGAGGATAATTTATTTATTTATTGTAAAATTTAAAATTCTACTTTTGAATGAACTTAAAATTTCAAATTACTGTCAGAATTTTATTTCATATACATAAACAAATACTTTTAAATTAGAACCTCAAGTTTGACCTTTAAATTTTATAATCAAAATCTACTGGGAATAGTTCATTTCATCACACTCCGTAAAGTCGAGACGAAAGGACTAATTAAAGTAAATCTAATTTACTTTTCTCCAAAAAAAAAACTCCTAATTTCCTTGCATCACTTTCAGGATTAGGCTTCAATTAACTCCTTGATTACATTATTAATTTGAAGAGACCAAACTTCAACTACTCCATCTCCCGGCTTTTTCTAAGAATAATTAATGATTAACAAATTTAAACGTAATCAAGAATCTTTTAGTTCTTCGTTCAAACTAAGTCTCAAGTATGAATTATTTAAGATAAAATAATACGAATCATCTACTTCCATTTTTTACACTATACAAGACTATCTTGACAAATTTAACATAATTTCTATCCAATGTTTTAATCTATAGCATATACTTTTGAAAAAAATTGAGATTCTCAATAATATATGCTTCGTCGCGAAAAATAAAAAAGACAGATTCTTCCTAAATAATTTAGATTATTCATTTTATTCCTTGTCTTTAATTTTTATCCTTCAACATCAAGTAACGAATAAGGTCATCTCTAACTTCACACCAAAATTAACATTAAATCTTATTTTTAGTATAAAATTGATATTTCAAGTTGTTAAAATTATTTCTAACATTAAACTAAAAAAAAACTTTTCACTTTGCATATATTTATAATTTTGTATTATAATATAACATAAGCTATATCTTAAAAGGAATAACAAGTTATACAACATAATTCCTAAGGAACTTATGTTGGCATATTTTTAGTTTTTCAAACTCACAAATTATATTTTAAGAGTCTTGATTTAATTTAATCAATAGAAAATTTATACTAGGCGCAAAAATCTTTTAAAAAATTTATGTCGAACGAATTAGATACTCCAAATATATATAAAAAAAAAACTTAATTTGTAACTCATGAAAAAATAAAAGAAATTTTTTCTAAATTTATGTCAAATAAAGTTAAATGATAAATAAAATTACTCTCACGATATTTTATTAAATGAGCCGCAAGAGCATATAAATTTGGTGCAACAACTTGAATTACTATCAATTGAGACAATTAGAGAATATAGATAAACGCATGAAAACTCGTACTATACTGGTTGCACTTGAAAAATAATAAGAAAAAAAACATTGCGTATATATTTATTTGCCCATAGGAATCAGCAAAGAGAAAGTTACATGGAAGAAAGTTTGTGCTTTACTAACATAAATTGTTCTCTATCTACGTGTCCTTTCCAAGTTAGGTAGTGCCTCACTTCCTTCTAACTTGGGATTAATTAACCATTATCTTATTTGGCGATTGATTAAGCCTCATCATTACACAATTAGACTTTTTTGGTTAAGTGTTTAATTTCCGGTTGACAAGTTCCACTTTCCTATATATCAATTAGTATATATATATATGTGCTGACTTGAATAAGATATTTTACAAGGATTAAGCCATATACTGCTAGCGAATTGCTGATTTGATTTATGAATCATCCATTTTGTCATGTTCTTTTAGCACAAAAGGGCAATTGTTTTAGTCAGCAAAAAAGAAGGAATTAATTATTTTTTTGGTTAGTCATCAATCAAACACACATATTAGCAATTTGACAATGTTTACAGCTAGAGGGTAAAAGAATTAACTGTGGAAATGAACTGCATGAATCTCTGCTGCTATTTTGGCAATCCACACTAAATTCTGATTGATATATCTCTCCCATCAGAAAGACTGAGCCATACTCTTCCCTGCTATGTTATCTTGTTTAACTCGCCTTCAGTAGTAAATAGTTTTTGTTGTTCTTGCTATAGGCCCCCAGGAAGTAGTCATTTAATATATCAGTGCAAGTAATTGCTCAAACCATTCAGCTAATCTTGGAAGCAAACCACAATAAGCTGGTAATGCACCAATAGAAAATTTTCAATACAAGACAAGTACCAACCTTTTTTTTTTCTTTTGCATAGTGCAACCACCCACCCTAAAGAACCCCCTCTCTATCCACGAGTCAAGCAATGGCCCTTTTCCACTTTGTTCCCTTTGTGACCCAAAGCACCACCTTATGGTTAGATGTAGAGATGGTCTTTATCACTAGGCTATCCTTCCATTGTCATGTCAAGGTACCAACTCTATTAGAGCTTAGAGAAGTGGATCCCAAAGAAAATTACAAACGAGAAACCACTGCAGACAACACAACACCTTCATGCAACAAAAAGTTCTTTCTGCCACTTATCCATGACTTGTTCACAGCCCTAAATAATCATTGAGCATCACAAGTTTTACAGTACCATCTCCACCACAAGTAAGAAAACCATGAGAAACAATTTGAATATCTGTAACACCCGCCTGAAAACAGAGGAAAAAAGGTTCTCTTTAGTTTATCGTGAAGGCTCAAGAAATCAGTAATTTTTCTTCCAACTATTTACACATCTGATCAAAGAGGTTACCTGAACCACACCACCAAAGCCACGGGAGCTTGGCTGCAAGAAGGTGTGTCTTTCATGCAATTTTGGCCAATGAAATACTAGTTTTGCACTCTTAGCATCCCAAAGTTTTACGTCTCCATCTTTACTTCCCGTAAAAAAAAAGCTGGTATGTGGTATGGTAGATATTTTGGTAACACTCCCTTCACAATACAATGCAGAATTAGAGAAAGATCTCGTTATATACTGCCAATCAACTTTCTACAGCATTTTCAGCCACAATCATGTAAAAATGTTTCAGTACCTGCATGAGCCTTCGGTATATACCAGAGCATCCCATGACGATTCTGATCACCGGTTTTCTTCTGTGTGTCAACCATGGAATTCACACCATGGTCACCAATTTCTGTATGCTTCTGTCGTTTTGTCTTTCCAGTAGCTATATACCGGAAGTCATGAAGTCCAACATCAC